TTGGAGTAACTCTAACCAAGGAAGTGAAAGATCTATTTGACAAGAACTTTAAGGCATTGAAGAAAGAAATTGAAGAGGATACCAGAAAATGGAAGGATCTTCCTTGCTCTTGGATTGGGAGGATCAACATAGTAAAAATGGCAATTCTACCAAAGGCAATTTATAGATTCAATGCAATCCCCATCAAGGTCCCATCAAAATTCTTCACAGATCTTGAGAGGACAATAATCAACTTTATATGGAAAAACAAAAAACCCAGGAAAGATATTTTTTTTTAAATCTCGTTTTGTCGTGGAATATCTGGTTTTATCCATCAATGGTGATTGAAAACTTTGTGTCTGCAGTACATCTGTCCAAGACCTTTTGGCTTTTATGGTTTCCACTGAGAAATTGGGTGCAATTCTGATAGGTCTGTCTTTATATGTTACTTGACCTTTTTCATTTGCAGTTCATAATAATCTTTCTTTATTCTATATGTTTTGTGTTTTGATTATTGTATGGTGAGCGAACTTTTTTTGGTGCAGTCTATTCAGTGTTCTGTAAGCTTCTTGTGCTTAGGAATATTCTTTTTTAGGTTGGGAAAGTTTTCTTCTTTAGTTTTGTTAATTATATTTTCTATGTCTTTGAGCTGGAGTTCTTCTCTTTCTTCTATCCCTATTATTCTTAGATTTTTTTTATGGTGTCCCAGATATCCTGGTTGTTTTGTGTTAGAAATTTGTTAGATATAATGTTCTCTTTGACCTTCAAATCTATTTCCTCTATAGTATCTTCAATACCTTAAATTCTCTCTTCCATTTCTTGTATTCTGTTTGTTGTGTTTGCCTCTGTAGTTCCTGTTAGTTTATCCAGATTTTCCATTTCCAGAGATCCCTTGGTTTCTCTTTTCTTTATTGCCTCTATTTCAGTCTTCAAGTCTTGAACTGTTTACTTCACCAGTTTGATTGCTTTTTCTTAGTTTTCTTTGAGAGATTTATTGATTTCTTCCATTTTTTATTTGTCTTTCCCTCCATTTCCTTAAGGGAATTTTCCATTTCCTCTTTAAAGGTCTCCATCATCCTCATAAAGTTATGTTTAAAATTGTTTCCTTCTGCTTCTCCTGGGTTAGCATTATCAAGTCTTCCTGTTGTATGACCACTGGGTTGTAATATTATCATGTTGCTTTTTAGCTTGCTGAATTAATTCTTGCATTGAACAGTCTCTATAACAACTCTTATAAAGGAAAACATTTAATTGAGGTTTAGTCCATTATCATCATTGCAAGACAAGTCAACATGCAAGCAGACATGGTGCTGGAGAAGGAGCAGAGAGTTCTACATCTTGATCCCCAGGCAACAGGAAGTGATCTGAGACACTGAGTATGGTTTGAACATTTACGAGCCCTCAAAGCCAACCCCTACAGTAACACATCTCCTCAAAGAGGGCCATACCTACTTCAACAAAGCCATATCTCTTCATATTGCCACTCCCTCTGAGCTTATGGGGGCCAATTGCTTTCAAACTACTATACCTTCTTATTACTGGGACTTTATTAAATAATAAAATTTATTTATAATGAAATATATATTATTCATATTTCAGCATTTTTCTTGTAGAAAAAAAGAAAACAGTGCACAAATACTTTCATATCTCTAAATATTGAAAACAGAATAAATAAAGGAGCAGTGTTCACTGTGTTCACTGTGGTATATTGTTTTATACTCCCTTTAGGAACTCCTACTATCTCAGAAATGACCTTCTTCAGAAAATAATTTCTTCAGAAAGATTGCACCCCTTTAGAGAGAACACACATCTAAGAACCCCTGTTATGACAACTCTCCCTTCCTGTGGACTGCAACTGCATCTCAGTACAGCCTCCTGGTCTCCCGCTCAGTCAGAGATGAGCTTGATGAAACCAGTGTTAGTTAATAAGGTCTCTGCATGGAAAGCCTGGCTCAGAATCTGTTTCTATGATGAAAATAACAGAGCAAAAAGGAGCACCTGTACTAATAGTCTACACTCACAAAATACTTCTCTGTGTTATCAACTAAGAACAAATTTTACTACTCATGTGCTGTTTTCCAGAAACAACATTGCCTAACCTAAGGCAGACCAGAGACTTTAAAATTTCCTTAATTACCACTAAAATTAATTATCTCCATTTTACCCTGAAAAAAGAGCAAATATGGTGACATAAAGAAAACAAAACGAAAATACACTATTTCTCCCAGTTTTTATCAAAATGCATTATTGCCACTGATCTTTTGAAAATGAATTACCAAGCAAAGTAAAAATAGTGAATGCTTTTCCACATGGGGGGGTGGACAAGCATCTGTAGGAGTATAGTTTAGTGATAGAACAGCAAGTGGAAGACCTGGGTTTGGGGCCACACATTACAGGAGAAAAAGAAAGAATCCAGTGTTATTGAAATTGCTGGCCATTGATATCTCATAGACTCACAAACTTTATAGGCTACTGCCAGTGCTTGTGGTTTACCTCCAGAACTTGATGATATAGGCCTATACCTGAAAATATAACATATTTAAGTCATAGAACATGGAGAAATCACCCTAGAAATTTCATCTCTAATGCCTAGCTTTCATAGTGCTGGAAAAGTCTATGTACATTACTAGAGGAAAAAGGTATGATACGTCTGTAATCATCGTCATGCAACTCTAAACCCTGCAAGCTACAATAAAGACTGGATGGCAAGACATACCCACTGGTATAATATTGGCGTAAGCATCATGAGAGTAACCAGTTACTTTCTGATTGGATTTTAGTTTCACTCCAAAAAATGAAAACCATTATGAGACTAAGAAGCATTAGTTAGGCTCTAACTAAAAATGACCCTAGTGGTAATCTGATACTATTAGTCTTCTAAAGGAGCACAGTATCACACTGACTCTTAATGATCTTTCAGACTTCATACTATTTGGAGTAGATGAGAAATAATACAGAGGCCCTCAGCTGACTTAGCTCAGAAAAAGAAGCTGGAATAATTCTAAAAAGAAAATCTATACCATACCCTTCTCCAAAGGCTCCAAGATCATTGTGGATGAGATCGCATAAAGTATGTAAAAGCCAGAGGTTGTGAAAGACTACAAGGAAGCATATCTTCTGCACACAGAGCGCACACTGCACATGATACTGTAGCAGTAGTCATAGGATCTGTGCAAGTACAAGTCAGATCAAGAAACAGAATGCAGGAATAAGTTTTGCGTGAAGTTCCACCCATAAATGAGGAGCCATTGGCAATTGATAGTGACTGAGAAAAGAAAATTTTCTCTAAGAACATAGCCCCTGGTAAGATGACACCACCAGTGGAAGATGACTGCACATCAAAAACGATATCGGCAGCACAAATTGGACTCAAAAGACTTAAAAAACAAAACACACAAGTCTGGTAAGTATGGAAAAGAAGTACATCTTGGAGGAAATGAAGGAAGGAACAGACACAGAATCAAATTGTATGTATATTATAGTTTCTTTCTTTCTTTCTTTCTTTCTTTCTTTCTTTCTTTCTTTCTTTCTTTCTTTCTTTCTTTCTTTCTTTCTTTCTTTTGGTTTTTCAAGACAGGGTTTCTCTGTTGCTTTGGAGCCTGTCCTGGAACTAGCTCTGTAGACCAGGCTGATCTCAAACTCACAGAGATCTGCCTGCCTTTGACTCCCAAGTGCTGGTATTAAAGGCTTGCACCACCACTGCCTGGTTATACTTTCTTTTTAATATTTATTAATCTATAATATATTTTAATCTATTTTATTACTTTTAGGGTATTTTTATTTGTAATATTTTATAAGAAAGCTTTAAAGACTAATGTAGAAGAAATCAAATATAACTCAACAAAAATAGGATTGAGAAAAAAGAAGACATGAAGTTGAGGGGTAGGTACACATATGGGAAGAGTGGTGGAAAGAACTGGGGGTAAGCATTGCATGAAAATCTCACAGTAGTAATAAAAATACGTGTTGACAGAGGTTTTCTGTCCTGCCTGATCCCACAGTCATTCAGTCTGAATGAAATACACAGAGGCTTACATTGATTTTAAACTGGTTGACCTATTATTAGTTAGGGATTCTTATGAATTAATTCTTTCATTTTAAATTAGCCCATAATTCTTGTCTGTATTAGTCAAGTGGCTTGGTACCTTTATTGGTGAGGCATTCTTATATTATATCCTCTGTGTCTGAGTGACAAATGCATGCTAAGATTTTCTCTTCCCAGAAATCTCCTGTTCTCATTGCCCCACATCTATTTCCTGCCTGGTCACTCTGCCTCTACTTACTACCTGGTTGCCTGGTCTATACTTCCTGCCTATCTATTGGCTAATCAGCGTTTTAGTAAATAGAAGTGACAAATCTTTACAAAGTACAAGACCGTTGACCCACAGCACTTCCCTGCTCTGGCCAGTACCTTCACCATGGGGCTAGACACTCAGAAAGCTAAGGAATGGAGTGGATCAAGCCATCAAAGCCACAGTATTAATCCTAGCCATATCACTTAGCAAATTAAAAACTCATGTGGTCAGAAAAATAGAGATATACAGTAAATATAGATTCAGATAAAAAAAACCCTCTAAATGGCTTACAGTATTTTAAAAAATACATGTGTGCTTGGGAGAGAAAAGAAAAATAATATGGGTGATTCCGGAAGCAATAGGAGTGCAGTGTGAACATGGGGAAGCAAAAGAAAACAAGAAGATATGCGACCATGAAGCGAATGCTTAGTCTCAGAGATGAGAGACTTAAAGAAAAGGATAGATTAAAGCCTAAAAAGAAAGAGAAGAAAGATCCAAGTGCGCTGAAGGAAAGAGAAGTCCACCAACATCCTTCCTGCTTATTCTTCCAGTACAATACACAGCTGGGTCCACCATACCACATCCTTGTTGATACCAACTTCATCAACTTTTCCATCAAAGCCAAACTCGACTTACTGCAGTCCATGATGGACTGTCTGTACGCCAAGTGTATCCCTTGTATAACTGATTGTGTGATGGCTGAAATTGAGAAATTGGGCCAGAAGTACCTAGTGGCACTGAGAATCGCCAAGGATCCACGATTTGACCAACTTCTGTGCACACACAAAGGAACCTATGCTGATGACTGCTTGGTACAGAGAGTTACTCAGCACAAATGCTATATTGTGGCTACAGTTGATCGGGACCTCAAACGAAGAATCCGGAAGATCCCTGGAGTTCCTATCATGTACATTTCTAACCATAGGTACAACATTGAACGGATGCCAGACGATTATGGAGCTCCTCAGTTCTAATTCTTACCTGACCACATTCACCTGCGTTTCTTTACCAGCTTTCTATGTTGTCAGTTAATTAAACATACTTTTTGTTGTTTTTTTTATCATATTTTGTCTCAGTTTTAAAAATAGCTGCATCTTTAAAAAGTTATATTATTAAAATGTGTATATGTAAAAAAAAGAAAAATAATATGGCTGAGGAAGAAACAACAGACGCTAAAAGACATTTGATTATAAATGCTGCTGGATTAATAGAACATATACACTTTGAAAATACTGTGACTTCAAAATTTTAGTCAAAAGATATGTTACTTTGGAGAAGAGATTTTGCTTTTGTTTATACAGGAAATTAGAGGCTCTGGATCCAATCTGGGCAAAGAAAAATCAGATTTGATCAAGGAAGACCCTCTGGGAAATTCTCCCATATGAGCAGATGGCCCAGATGTCTGAGTTCTACATCCAGAACAGATTCAGTACTGCTGCCTGAGATGATCAAGTCTCACAGGATACTCCAGTCAGGAATTGATCATAATTCTAACTTTTCTTTAAGTCCCCATAAGATTATCAGTGCCCCCAATCAGCAGGAAATAGCTTAGAAAACTATACCCACATTCTCAAAAAAAATAGACTATAGATATTTTTCTTTGTTTGGAGTGTTGGCTAAAAGTTGTTATGGATAATGGTCAGGAAGAAAGTTAAACAAGGGTGATTAGATTCAGAATTCTTTAAAAAAAAAAACGGGGGTAAGTTCTGTGGGAATATGGTCTTGTACTTTGTAAAGATTTGTCACTTGTATTTTAATAAAACACTGAGTGGCCAGTAGTCAGGCAGGATGTATAGGGAGGGTGACCAGGCAGTAAGTATAGATGGGATGACCAAACAGGAAATAGAGGTAGGGCAATGAGAACAGGAGAACTTTGGGAAGAGGAAAGCTCCACCTGTACTCATTACCCAGATGCAGAGAAAACAAGATGAAAATGCCTCACTGATAAAGATACCAAGCCATGTGGCTAACACAGACAAGAATTATGGGTTAAGATGTAAAAATTAGTTAAAAAGAAGCCTGAGTTTGGTGTAGGAGGTTCTTCTGTTCATGTGTTGCTTTCATTGGCTAATGAATAAAGAAACTGCTTTGGGCCTGATAGGGCAGGACTTAGGTAGGCGGAGAAGACAAAACTGAATGCTGGGAAGAAGGGCAGAGAGAGAGAGAGAGAGAGAGAGAGAGAGAGAGAGAGAGAGAGAGAGAGAGAGCTGCTGCCATGGATCTTCTGACTGAGACGGACAATGGTAATAATCACTGGTAAGCCACAGCCACGTAGCTATGCACAGATTAATGTAGATGGGTTAAATTAATATGTAAGAGTTAGACAAAAAAGAAGTTAGAGCTAATGGCCAAGCAGTGTTTAAACTAATACAGTTTCTGTGTGGTTATTTTGGGTGTAAGCTAGCCAGGCGTCGGGACAAACAAAGGGCCCACCTCTCCTTGCAACATGAGTTAATAGGCCAACCAGTTTATAATTAATGTAGACCTCTGTGTGTTTCTTTGGGACAGAATGGTTGCAGCACTTGGTAAGACAGAAACCTTAGTCAACAAACACTAAACAAGGGAGAAAGTATTCCAAGATAAATAAAGAGACAGATACCAGATGTATTCATTTTCCTTTTGGCAGAAGTACAAAAGATGCTTAATGCATTTACTGAATACATAAATAAGAAACAATAGGATAGATAACACTATGAATACTATGAAATTGTAGTCAAGTTCTAGAAAGAATTGTAGCACAGGACTTTGAATTCATGCATATATGATGTTGCAAAAATTAAAAAAGTTGAAATCACTCATGGAATAGAAATACTGAAAAAAATCAAAATATTAAAATTGGTCTTATAAAGTTTTTTTCTTAATTACTATTTTATTGTATTCATATAAGTGTTGCTTACATGTATGCACATCACATACAAGCATAGTTCTCAGGTTAAATAATAAAATGGGCATATAATAAAAAGGTTACTAGTAGTTAATAGTGTGTAGGAAATAGAATCCATCTTTGATAACACTAATAAAAGTAAATATGTCAATAACTTGAAAAATTCTATACATGGAAGCACAATGGTTTTATACAGTGCTTGTATCCTTTGTCTTTAGTTATTTGAACAGATAATCACAACTATGTGTAAAAAACAATATTTTTAATTTAAACTGTCTAGTGCCAAATTGTTAGCAAAGAAAACATACAATAAAAATTTATTGTGGATGTTTAAATTCATTTACTTTTTTTAAAAAATGTACTTTCTATTTTACTATAAATAAAATAGTCAGTTGAAAATGTATTGAAATTAGTTCCCTCCTTATACAACATAGGACCCAGAGGTCAAACCCAGGTAACTAGACACAGTATCATTTGCCTTAACCCATTGAGCAGTTTGACAGCACAAAAACGTTTTAAGTCTTATTAACATACATATGAAATAACATGTATGGTTTAAAATTAGCAGTCATCAATGAATTATGAACTATATCACAGTACTTATGATACCATAGAACTTATGACATATTTTTATTTCTTGCAAATAATTAACATAGCTAAGATGTTCTTGAATCAGACCATGGGTAACTATCCAGTCATTTAAAACATGTACCTTTATTACTAGTTCTTAAGTTACTCAGACAGCAATCAGTTCACACTTAGGAATTCATAACCCATTGAAATTTTTATGTAACTAGGGAAGACAAAGACCTTTAGCTCTTAAAACTAAGTGTTTAAAAGCTGGTAACAAGTGTAAAATTGAGGTATCTATGCAATGTTAGAAGAATAATAAGTAAAATCAACATAAAGTATTTGAGTTTCCTTTTCGATTTTATATTTATTTAGATTATAATTTGTTTCAAAATGTAGAATGCCATTTAAGTTAATCAAAGTTCATTGACCCAGGACTTTAAAAATATCTGTGAAGCAAAACTAATCTTATAATGCTTTTCTTTCTTAATTACTATTTTATTTTATACATATGGGTGTTGCTTGCATGTATATACACCACAAACACGTCTAATTCTCATGGAGGCCAGAGTGTGTATAAACTGGAACTGGAGTTACAGGTGGTTGTTAGCCATCGTGTAGGTCTAGAAATTGAACCAAGGTTCACTGGAAGAGAAATCAGTGCTCTTAACCACTGAGCAATCTTACCAACCCCATTCTTATGATTTTAAAATCAATTTCAGACCAACACACACACAATTTTATTAACTTGACTACTAATGAAAGTGTATATGATCAAAGTGTATTGCTAGAAACATTGCTGGAAGGAAGAAGAATATTGGGAGCGCTAAACCTAGAGTGTTAGAATAACAACACAGTTACTTTTAAGTTATACTTACACTAAGACAAGCACTAGAAAATAATGAGATCTGAACAAATAATGCAATGCAGGTTTGACAAAAAGGCAGCACACATCCATGCTTCTGGTCAACATTGTTATTGATTGCAGAACTTTTAGACCACTTGACCATTAAGTATATGTGGATTCTGTCTTGTCCCACAGAGCACTCTGGGCAACCACTTTTTATTGATTGGTATTGACATAAACAGTGCTTTCCAGGAAAAGAGGTAAAAACTGTAAATGAAAAATAATTATACCTCGCTCAGGGTAGTGTTTTCTATTTCCATCCATTTGCATGCAAAATTCGAGAAGTCATTGTTTTTTACCGCAGCATAGTACTCTAATGTGTATATATATTCCACACTTTCTTCATCCATTCTTCCATTGAAGGGCATCTAGGTTGTTTCCAGGTTCTGGCTATTACAAATAATACTGCTATGAACATAGTTGAACAAATGCTTTTGTCATATGATAGGGCATCTCTTGGGTATATTCCCAAGAGTGGTATTGCTGGGTCCAGGGGTAGGTTGATCCCAAATTTCCTGAGAAACCGAAACACTGATTTCCAAAGTGGTTGCACAAGATTGCATTCCCACCAGCAATGGATGAGGGTACCCCTTCCTCCACAGCCTCTCCAGCAAAGGCTATCATCGGT